GTTTTGGACCCACCTCCAACCTCCCTCTACTTTCAAAAATTCTGTAACGATCAGTTTGTGCTCAACTTCAGCAATACCTCCAATCCTTTCAGCTCTTTGAAACTTTTCAGTCTGGCTTCCGTACTCATCATAGCACAGAAACCGCCCTTCTCAAAGTAACCAATGACCTCCTCCTTGCCTCCGACTCTGGATCCCTCATCCTCCTCCTTCTCCTTGACCTCAGTGCAGCATTCGACACAACTGATCACACCATTCTCCTGAGCCGTCTACAGTCAGTTTTCAGCATTTCAGGTCTAGCACTTAAATGGTTCACATCCTATCTCTCTGATCGTCAGCACTATGTCTCAGTCAACCGCTGCAGATCACACATCGCTCCTGTCACCCATGGCGTCCCCCAATATCCAGTGCACTCACATCAGAATAACTTATAGATTTGTTGTTAGAATAATCGATTAATCAAAAAAATAATGGTTAGATTAATCGATTAGAAAATAATCGTTTGGTACAGCACTAGTGGTCTTATTTCCTCGATCTTGTACCTCTGCAAGCTGTTTGCTTCATTCAGCATCTGGAAACCCTACAGACAGGAAAAGTACAGAAAAGTAGAAAAATACATTCAAAAAGCACATCTTCTGCAGAGTTAGCCTGTCCAATTTAGTTTGCATTCAGTATATAAGTTTGTCACAGAAAACATTATTTTAATCACTGATAAATTAAGTTGATCAAGCTGTTACTGTTCATACTTAGTGCATTACTTTTCCACAGGTGGAGCGTTTAGTTAAGGAGCAGTAAGTGTGTGCGGTGTACAGGACACTTTCTTCCATCCTAATTGATTTTTCATGCTTATATTGTTTATATAAAATATTATCTGTTTGCAGGACTCCCACCCCTGTAACMCAGGAGCTCTGAACCTCTCAGAATCTGGTGCTGCTTCCAGCAGCTTTGCTTCAACAGCAGAGGGCATCATTGAATCAGGACCATACAAAGGTAACAACACTCTTTTATCCCCCGCCCTTTTTTCTTCTCTTTCATTTGTGTGCCTATTGTTTACCCATTGTTGAGTTCTGTAAAGCAATCACTTCATTCTGCTTTATCATGTCACAATATTTAATTTTGTTCAAGCGTTTTCTGCTTCCCAGTGTTCCAGCTTTGTGTATTATCTTTGTAAAAAAAAAATGAAAGGCAAGAAATTTAAAATTGTAAAAGTGAAAATTCATTAGGTTTTAATGAGCTTCCTCTGATCTCCTGTTTAGAACCCGTCCCACTTCCCTTTCATCGTCCAAATGCAAATAAAAAATCTCCCCACAGAGCTGAGAGCTGTTGCAGCCTGCTCGCTTCAGTGTTGCCATGGCTATTTTCCGTGTTGTTCTCTCCGGTTGAGGAAGGCCTTTGTTCATTAGCATGTTCAACCTGGAACATGAGCAGAGTTACTATAATAGTGGAAAAACACACTCACGTGTTTACATTAATGGGAAATTCCCTCCTTTTTAGGTTTTTATGGCAGGAGGGTAACATACTAAAACACTCCTAACTTTGAATATCTCCCAGGGTCAGCAAGCGTGCCCACGTCTCCTGTGACACCTGTAGCTCCCAGTTCAGCTGTTGCCACCCGCCTGGCACGCTGCTCCAGTGACAGTCAGGTTGAGAAAGGTACCTGGGGCCATGGTGTATGAATCCAACAATACCAAACTCCAACCACAGCCTATTGATCTATAACTCCTTTTAAAAATGTTTTTGTTTCCCATCTGCACCTTGCAGCTGCAGGCTGTGCTTCACTCATGATAAAACATCTTTTTGTTTCTGGTTTCTCCAAACATCTCCTTTGCTGAAGTGTGGGCCGACTGATGTAGTTTGAGGCTTTGCTCTGGCTGTGTTTGTTTGCTCCTTGGAGCCACCGACCTGTGGTTTAAAAATGAATGTTTCTGGTGTAAAATCTTTGTACCTCAATGTTTATTTAGGTTGTTGGGGAGTGTTTTTTCCAGTTTACCTAAACAGGTTTTCCAGCTTGAAGTCCTGACATGGGCCGAATCTTAATGGAGCTTTAATACTGACACACATTCAACCAACTATACAGTTTCTTTACATATTCATATCTGATCAGTTATCATACCTTAACCTGTGGACTATTAGCTTTTCCAGATGTGTAATCTGTCCATAGCATAGGCACTAATGCACCTCTATACCATCAGAGAAGCAGGCTAATAATTTAATGTGCTAATAGCAGGCCAGATTGATGCTCTATACTATGGATGATGTGGTGTCTGTGCTTTCTTTTTAATAATTGTAAATGTAGAAAAGGTGAAATTCAAAGGCTACGTTCACACTGCAGGCAAATCCGACCCAAATCCGATTTTTTTGACCCATCTGACTCATATCCGATTTTTTTATGACAGTCTGAACGCGACAAATC